CAGCAAACTGGACTGGCATTCCCACCACACCTGAACATGACTGGTACCCAAAGAAACAAATAAAAATAATGAAAATAACACAAGCAGTATCAGAAATCTTCAGAGTATTTAACAAGACATTGAGTAGAGGTATAGTGATTCCAAAAAGGTGTTGATTTCCTTATTGCCCAGAAGTTGTTTTTCTTGCTTTTGGAAAAGGTGTGCAGCACTGGCCGCTGGCTGGTAACTCCTCAGATGCTGAAGCTAAGCACCTGCTACACCCAGGCTAAACAGCAAGTGTCATGGGGGAGCCTGGACACCATCTCAGGCTTCACAAACATTAAGGTGATTCTTCAACACTTCACCAAACCATGTGCAAACACAGACTCATTTCAAGCATTTACAATTTTTCATAGTTCATGGCTCTGAAAACACACTCCAATGGGTTACTACACACACACACACACACACACACACACACACGAAAGACAGAGAGAGAGCCAGAGGAAACCTTATCCCTACATCACTACTCTTGCCGGTCTGTAAAACGAGCCTCGGAAAAAGGAAACTCCAGTGGAGCCTTCATTGCTGTAACAGACTTAGTCGTAACTGAAGGAAATCATTTACTGTAGGTCTTATAAAAGGTAGTATTATTTATGCAGCAAAAATTATTTAAAGTAAACCACAGTAGCCACTGAGCCAAATGGAAAATAACTAATATTTTTACGCAATTAAGCAAAAGAATAAAGATGAATATTATTACTAACTATATTAATATATAGTTATATAAGCTTGTTTTCTGTCATTAATAACAGTTAACAAAAATGAATGTATTACTTATTAATGCAACTTTACACATTGCATCAGGACATTTTACAGACTGTACTAAAATATACATCTTTACATTAACAAATACTGCAAAGTTTAAGCAAAAATAAACTAAGCTCACAAAAAGGTGCAAGTCTTCCCACATTTCTGGTCACGGAGTAGTCATTTTACACACCATTACCACCTTAAACAGGGCACTGAAAAGGTCTAATGAGCGTCATTAAGTCCCAACAGCAAGAACAGGGATATTTAAAGAACCAAAACACAAAGACCTGAGCATCAGCGACTGACTAGCTCTGATATTCTTCATATATACACAAAGATGATTTGTAAGCAGAAATCACAATACAGAACACACAGTGCTCATAAAAGTCTTACAATGCTTTCTTAATTCTGTAAAAATGTTGCAAAGTTATTAATTTCATAACAAAAGTCCATTAACAAGCAAAGTTTAACACATATGCATATATCCTGAACGTTACTTCTTTTTAAATGTCATAATTATTTTAACTGACTCATTCAGTTCTGTTGCCATTTTTGCTGTTAATTGCAGTTGTAGCCAATGACTTCCAAAGGGATACCAAAATGAACTTTTTAACACTGGACGGCTCTTTTAGAACTATAATCCGGGTCTTAACATATAACTACTTCAATGTTTAACTTAAAACTACTGGTTGTTTCTAATGATAGTGATATATATATTTTTGCTAAAAATTATGATTTTTGTTTTAAAACCAATAAATTTGCAATATTTTTAATGAATCAAGCAAAACATTCTGTGAGTATTGTATACTCCAGGGCAAATGGGTGCACAAGCTTGAATGATTCCAAAATGTACACGTCAAACTGTTTATTTTACAACAGGCCAAAATAACCCCAAAAAAACAACCAAATGAGATTTTTCCTTCACCAATCAGCTAGTCTTTACTCCTCCTGCAGTAGTTATGTTCTCTGAAGAAAAGGACATATTCCCTGCTGGCATTCAGCAACAAAAATGTACTTTACAGAGTCCATTCTAATTCTATACTCAAAAGCAAGTATCAGCTGACAGTCTATCTGGTCAAACGTGTACTGACTTGACTTTACAGAAGAACCCAGAAACATCAGAGTATCTCTAGATCAGACTATGATACTAGTAAAATGTATCCTATGCATACATTTCACTTCCTTCATTATGAGTCAAAGGAAAAAATCCTATAATAAAAATGTTAAAACACTTGTAACCACAGGTGTTCTTACCATTTTTTTTACTCAGAAATATAATTTAAAATTAGTAAATCATGTAGCCATTACCATCATAAAATAAACTATAAGCCTGTTACAAGCCAGCAGCATGCACACCTACCTGAAAATACCCAAAACGTTAAGGCAACAGAGGAAATATTTAAACTGCAGGCACTCTTGCATTCTCACTTGCATTTCTGAAACTTTAAAAGGCATTTTAACAGATTAACCCTGGCAATATGACCCAAAATATATGTATATGTAATGTAGGGACCAAACAATTCATTGGCCACCTATACTGTACAGTAAGGTTTCAGATTAGTAATAGCTGCATACCATTATTCTTACAAATTCTTGCTATAACAGACATACAGCCAACCCACTGAAACTCATCCCTATAACATACAGCACAAGAAAATACCTCTTTCCTCATTAACTTCAACTATGGAAAACGGTACGAGCCTTCAGACCCAACTAAGACTAAATCAGTAACACAAGTCCATTTTGCAACAAAACCAGTGTCAGAAATTAAATTATATATCCAGCTTCAGGCTGTTGTTTGAGTTGATACTCAACAATGAAATGGATGAATGAATCTTTAAAACCATTTAAGGAAATCATAACACAGAAGCTACATACTCAATGGCCACTTTGTTAGGAACCCCTATGTATTGCAAGACAGCATACGATCTTGACTCCCGAAAAACTTCAAGGTAATTTGCATCATGGTATTTTTTAAGATTCATACTATTTAGAGGTATTGGTTTTTCCCCCAAGTTCACCCTTAACAGTATTACTGACATCATTCATTAGATTATTATTGTATATTCAGCTTGACAGAGTCATCTTTTATTGATTATAACCGTGCACTTGGCTCAATAAGAATTGTTTCACTGACGTTTTATTAGATTAATAATGTATATTTAGCTAGATAGAGACAGGCTTTATTGATTATTGCCATATGTTTAGCTTGGTAAGAGCGTTTGCTGGACCGGCATGATTTTAATATTACCATGATAAATCGATATTAGGGATTTTGCTTTACAAATATGCATTTAATTGCAGACATAATATTACATGTAATCCAAATTTTCAGGCACTGAAGCAGTAGCTGAACAATTACAGTCATGTGAAAAAGAAAGTTTCAGTTCTATAGATTTACATATCAGGACATAAAACAGTCCTAAAGTTATACAATTATTTAAATTTAACCTCAGGTGGAAAAACAGCACACAACAGATTGCACCGTCATTTTTTAACAAAAATGAAGAAGCCATGTGTGAAAAACTAAGTACACCCCATGATCTAATAGTTTGTAGAAGCACCTGCAGCAACAATAACTTGATGTAATCGTCTTCTGTATGGCTTTATCAGTCCCTGACATCATTCGTGAGAAATTTTGGCCCACTCTTCTTAACACTGCTTCAGTTCATTGAGGTTTGCTGACATTCATTTATGCACAGCTCACTTAAGGTCTCACAGCACAATTTCAAATCGGAGGTCTGGACTTTGACTGGGCCAACTTGATTCTTTCCTTTTCCAGTCATTCTGCTGTAGGTTTGCTGGTATGCTTGGGATCATTGTCCTGTTGCATGACCCAATTTCGGTCAAGCTTTAGCTGTCGGACAGATGACTTCATATTTGACTCCACAATAAAGAGCAGTTCATGGTCGACTCAATGACTGCAAGGTGGTCAGGTTCTGCGGCTGCAAAACAAGCCCAAATCATCTCCTCTCCTCCAACGAGCTTGACAGCTGAAATGTAATGATTGTGCTGATATGCTGGGTTTGGTTTTCACCAAACATGGCACTGTGCATTATGGCCAAACGTCTTCACTCTTGTCTCGTCTGTCCAAAGAACGTTGTTCCTTGTGGTTGTTCAGATGCAACTTTGCATAGTGCTGCCATGTTCTTTTTAGAGAGAAGAGGCTTTATCCTGGCAACCCTTCCAAACAAGCTATACTTTAGCCTTTTTTGATCTGAGGTTATATTTACCTAATTTTAAGATGTGCTAAGGACCAGATGATTTATGTCCCGATACATAAAACCTTAGAATTGAAAGAGGGTGTACTGTCTTCTTCACATAATTGTATATATGAAGAATTGTTATAAAGTTCTAACTAAAAAGGGTATGCACAATTAACCGGGCTCTCCTCTCAATACGCTCTGCACAGTGACCTGTAGCACGTCTAGCAGTGAAGCACATTTACCTTCTCCAGGTAAATGACGCACACACACCTGGCTGCCCACATCAACTTCAAGAACCGACTGTTCACTTGCCTAAAATATAATAGCACCCGTTATTCAATGTTATTTACTTCACCGGTCAGTGGTTTTAATGTCATGGCTAATCAGTGTATATCAACACTCTAAGGAGAATGCCAGTTTATAAGAATTCAAACTCAAAATTCTTAATCTTTATTGGAGCCCAATGGGGTTTTTGTCTAGACGTGCGTTTGAGGTAACAGACATTCAGAAATCTGCTTACCCCATTTTGGGTTCATTTAGGTAGGTGTGGGTTTGTTTGTTTGACTGTAAATAAACTGCTGTAAATAAAACTCATGATACATAAAAGTACAAATGAATTCTGTGCATTCTGTCATGGCACAAACCTAAAGTAACAAATAACCCCAGGCTGAGATAGGTAGGTTACAATGCAATAGCAGTCTTCTCCAGTCAGAGCAATAATTTGCTCATCATAAAAGTTTAGAGAGATTTATTGAAGCCTCAACATTGGGCAACCAATCATTTCTGGAATTTTAAAAATGAAATTAATCTGCATGTGGTGAAAGGTCATGTGACTATATTGCAATGATAATATCAGATCAAACGGACGACAGAGTTGGCAGCATGGGCACACTGCTGCTCCCATGTCAGTAGGCTGTGCACCTCCCCGGGCCTGGTTACATGAGGCGATACGGTGCAGAAGTTAGTCGTTCAGCCATTGTATCCTCTCCTGCGGCAAGTCACCCTGCAGCTGCTGGAACTGGCCCTCAAGATCCTGCAGATTGGCACTGGGACCCAGTTGACGTCCGAGCTGATGCCACACATGTTTGATTGTGGAAAGATCAGGGGACCTGGTTGGCCACAGGAGGACCTCAACATGACACAGGCAGTCCATAGACACACGTGTAGACGGACGTTGTCCTGTTGAAAGACTGTACCAGAGTGCCGTCTCAGGAGTGGTAAGGCAGGATGTCATTGACGTAGCAGGATGTCACTGACTTAGCGCTGTGCCGTCCCCTGAGTCCCCTGAATCACTACCAGAGATGACCTGAAGTCATACCCTATGGCTCCCCACACCATGATGTCATACCCTATGGCTCCCCACGCCATGATGTCATACCCTATGGCTCCCCACGCCATGATGTCATACCCTATGGCTCCCCACGCCATGATGTCATACCCTATGGCTCCCCACACCATGATGTCATACCCTATGGCTCCCCACACCATGATGTCATACCCTATGGCTCCCCACGCCATGATGTCATACCCTATGGCTCCCCACACCATGATGTTATACCCTATGGCTCCCCACACCATGATGCCAGGAGTAAGCCGGTGTGTCTCTCCATAACATTGGCAGGATTGGTCCTCTCCCCTCGATGCCAAAATACGTGCACACGACAGTCATCCACGATAATGCAGAACCGAGATTCATTGCTGAACATGGTACGATGCCACTCGTCATCAGTCCAAGCCTCCCAGTTACAGCACCACTCTGTGCTGGTGTTAATGGCAGTCTACGCATGGGACGGTGAAACCATAGTCTGGCTGATGTCAGTCGTCGAGACACGGTGTGAGATGACACGGGGTGTTGTAGAGAGTCCAATACCTGTGTCTGGATGGCAGGCACAGATGTCATGTGGTTCTGTAATATTTGGTGCACAATACAACAATCCTCCCAACACTGGGTGACTGTGACATCTGCATGCCCCACATGCCTGGCAATTGCACAATAGGACCACCCAGCCATGCAAACCTGCAATGTGACCCCGATCAAACTCCATTAACTGCTGACAGTGGTGTCTAATGCATCTACGAGGCATCCTCTGTGTCTGGTGACTAGACTTGCCAGCTCCTTGCAAATCTAATTATTTACATATCCATTGCTGGTCTGCACATGTACCAAATTACATCCAAATCAGTCCATTACTTCTGGATGCTTATTTTTTTGTCACTTAACATACATTTCATAAAACCTTCCTTTGCACTCCAGATCATTGCATAACAGATCCTCAGTTACTTAGAATGTAGCCATACAGCAGCAAATAAGTCTGAAAACCCATATACTGTATTAGCCCGAATATAATACGACCCCCCTCACACTTTTTAGTAACTATTTTTTTAGAAAAAAAGCTTTTGAAATACCAAATCTTACCCTTATAAAGAAAAATAATTTTATTTCACAAGATCATATAATAAGTTAACCAGCAACCACAGCTTAAAAAGCTACCACCGGCAATCAGCTTACGATAAGCGGAAAAAACAAACATTCCAAAAAACAATTGTATTTCTTTTTGGGAGGGGCAGTGGGGAGTAGATAATGAATATTACAAACTCCACAACCCTTGAGGGCACAGAATGTTTCTGATGCAGCAGACCCACGTGAAGAGGGTAAAAAAACATATTGCGGTGAAAGGCTGAGCCATATTAATAAATGACATGACAGCTCTTTTAAAATGAATGTTACTATCTTTATTAACAGCCACTATCAGTTTAATACTAACAGCGGCACAGGCAGGAAAGTCAACAATTTAGGGATACACGTTAAACACACACACACTGCCAAGGAAGCCAGCTCTCATCTGGCGTGACACTCATCTCTCTCACACACACACACACACACACACACACACACACACACACACACACACAGAGCCAGGGATGCCAGCTCTCATCTGTCGTGACACTCACGCTTTTTGACTCTCCTGCTCACGCAAGCAATCTTACAGCAAATCTTTATTACAGCAAGTCAAGGTACTCCTTACAAAATATCGTATGTGTCGCCATCTATTCTCTATTTTGTCTAGGCCCGTCTAGGCCCCAAATATAAGACTACACCACCTTCTCAGACATATTTTGAGAGGAAAAAAAACCCATCTTATATTCGGGTCAACGTGGTAATTTTCACAAGTTAAGCACTTAAATGAATCATTCCATTTCACCTTCAGCTATTCATCTTCTGTATTGAATTTCTCATGTTAATTAATCCTGAAAGTACTGAAGGTGCATTCATAACAATAAGCCCACACATCTATCTACCTCTCTACAAACCCAAACTCCACCCCAACCTGGAGTAAAACAAGTCATTTCTTAAAAACTTGTTAAGGATTATTGTATTGGGGGAGTATGCTTACTTTCTTATAGACTATACTTCAACACTATAATGGAGTCAGTACATCCCATCTCAAGGGGGATGAGTCCAATTCTCCAGCAATATCTTCCTTATCCCAAGAAAGTGTTACTTCTTCATTGGAGTACATTGGATACAAGCACACAAATGTCTAGCTCCATAGGTTCTACTCTCCTGCAAAACACCTTCTTACACATTACTAATTCGTATTAAATGTGTATTGCGCAATGAATACTTGAGAGAAAAAGCCAAGTTTAATTCAGTGGAGTTCATGACTATATATGTAACTCTCTTTGCCTCTTTAACAACAATTAGGTTAACACGTAAACATTCCAGACTTAAAGTAGCAAAGCACTGCATGATTTATTAGCCATCCCACTCAGCCTATTATTGCAAACCATTTGGTCAGTGAACATATTGCACCTCTGGCTTAACTTGTCAAACATATTTTTGCACGGACCCAATGCTCCAATTAATTTTGTAAATCCACAGGGGCTCCTCCAGATAAACATTCCTGTGCCCGTGGAACAAAAGCTCTGATGTGGATTCAGCAAACTACAGAGACCCAAGCGCATGCAGTGCAGGAAGAAAGTACAGCTATCTGGAAAAACATGTGTAAGTGACTGTTAAACATACTGTGGCAAAACAGTGACGTGACTATTACATCTAGCAATGTTTTCGATATTACAAGATGACAATAGAAAGAACACAGAATACGATACAGAATTTACTTTTCATGTCTTTAGAACTGAGAACTAAAGATAATCAGTTAAAGGCTGTCCATAGTGTATTTATATGCATTAAATTACTGCAAATGAATCCATAAATTTAGAATATAAACCAAGGTATAAAAACAGTGCGTCATCAAATTAGCATTAGAGGTAAGTAACCAAACAGTTAATAGCCAAGGTCACCAACAGCAAATATTAAAAGCACCATAATTTTAAAAAGAAGAAGTCGTAGTTACTAGTCGTAACTTAAGCAAAGCAAATTATAAGCAAATACTTAGTATTAACACCTGTAAAGTTGCTAGCAAATGGTTGTTTAAGCATATATTTGTCTGACCATCCACTGATGGAACTATATAAGTATCTTGAATACATTTTGATTGAAACTGAAATTAAATTGAAGCGATTAAAGCAAGTGCACTATAATATTTAAAGTAGCCTTAAAACTATGACTGAAGAATACTGGGGAAAAAAAATCACACTGCAATATTTGGAATCTTTGCAATAAATAAATAATATGTTACTTATTTTTGAATAAAAGAAAAAAGGAGTTCAAACTGTACCCAAAATAAATTGTACCTAAATTAGGGCTAGGCGATATCATATAGATATATCGCACATGCCCAATAATCACCAGGCCTTCAGATGACAGGCGAAAGTGGCAGTACTTTTTGTAGTTTATAGTCTGATGCATTTATTAAATATAAGGATATGCCAAATACTGATTACTACATTTTGGGTGTCATAAAATGCCTTATTAATATTTTACTCATACCACTAATCTACTTAACGAATTGTGGGTATAAATATGTGTCCATATAGTACTGAAAATCTGACATCCGGCGAAATATTTCGCCTGTCGAGCCCTGGTGATTATTGTGCATGCATGATGTAATATCGATATGATATCACCCAGCCCTAAGCTAAATAAAACTTATTATCTACCAAGACAGTCTGTCTTTACTGGGAAAGGCAGGTCAGAAGTTCACTTTCAGGGCAATTCACCAAAACGTCTGGTACTCTGACAATTCAATTGTATTTGAAATTTTATCCAGGACAAATTTCAGTTAACATGAACTTAAAGAATATTTTAATGACAATCATGACAACAAAAATATACATATAAAATTAACAGCAGCAGCATAATCAGATTCTCTTACATCTGTTGCCATGAGTTGTGCCAACAGACACAACACATTGCTGACAAAACACTCAGTTTTGTTCAAAATGATCTCTATGGAATTAAAAACATTTCCATACAGTAAAAGATGAATGTCTTCTGGTGATCAGTTCTTGTTAGTCTTATTTGTTTTTGTTTAAATTTCTAGCAAACATCATACACTATGACTGAGCAAGAACAAAAATGATGATTGGCTCAAAGAACACATGCAGAGCTTACGTAAAAACAGCAGAGGTAAACTTCAAAATGAATAAACTATGCACTTATTAGAAAATTGAAAAATTACAACTAATTATCCATCCATCCATCCATTCATTATCTATACCGCTTAATCCATCTGGGTTGTGGGGAAGCCGGAGCCAATCCCAGCATCTTCTGGCGAGAGGCGGGGCACTCCCTGGGCAGGTCTACAACTAATTATGCTGCTGCTAATAATATGATTTCAAATGGCTGAACTATTATTTGATTTTACAATTATTTGCAAATTTATGCACATTTTTGAGTATTGGAACATTCGACAATGCTGATTCATTCCTACCCTGGAGCATGTCACCACATTTAAAACTTGTCAAAAACATGCTGATCGATGACTTCTTGGGCTATATCAAATTCCTGAGTGGCACAGTACACTGTTTCTACCGCTCTATGCATCAAGGGACACCCAAAATGACATTATGAGATAACTATACTACAGAACTAGCCTATTGTGAGTTCTCATTTCTGCACTTTCCATGACATAGGATACACATAACCCATAATAATCTGCATACAATCATCCAGCATTTATACCCTGCAGTCTAATGTAATCTCCACACCTCTGTTCAACAGCAATCTTGTCAAACCAGGTGTTCTTCATCTTCATATTTAAGCGAAATAAAGTTACGCTTTTCATGATAGTTTTTACTTAAAACAAAAACAGGGAACCAAATTCAATA